AAGAATTGCTGACCCCAATCTATTGTTATAGATTTGGGATTTGAAGCCCAATTCCTTAAATTCGTCTGAAAAGCCCAAAGCGCGTGAACAAAATAACATTGGGAAGTTTTTGATGAATAGTTATTGTCTGACAAAAACGTATGGACCTTGTCACATACCAATTGTATGCAAGTGAGCAACATGTTTTGGTGACTTTTTGACATAATTTTCATTAGGAAAAGAAGAAGACTAGCGTAAAATGTAGGGGTGAATGCGGTTTGGTTCGGTTTGGTTTCCATCTCATACCGGAATTGGAATTGGTATTATTCAACTTGTGTGGTTTGGTCCGGTGTTAGGGAAAATTTTTTATAAAACTGATCGGTTCAGTTTAAACCGATTTCGATGCAGTTTTCAGTTTTTCCAGTTCGAACTGGATATTATTTTATTTATTTTTACACAAATTCCAATTAAAATTTTATTTTTTGGGCTTAAAAATTCACAAATGATACAATTTCATGCAAAGAGAGGTGATTAGGTCTAGAAAAGAAAAGAGCTTTGAAGTTGAGCTTGGGGAAATATCAATTATAGGATTAGAAATTTAGCATTGGACTTAAATAATTAAAAAAAAATACACAGTCGGTCCGGTCTGGTCCGATCCTGTTTAGTATTGTTCGATCCTCCATTCTCTCTCGATACTCCTTGGATCTGGTGTGCTCGTGTTGGATCTTTCTCGCGCCATTTGCTCCCCCTCGTTTTTTAGCCAACTCTTAGGGGTTTGGTGGTTTGATTTCCTTGCCACTGGGGCTAGTCTTCTTTTGGCTCCTGCCATTGTCGTCATGTCTTCTCCAGCTTCTGATCCCAATGCTACCGTCGCTGATATTGAAGGGTCATTCGGGAGCCAATTGGTTCTCAGGCCACGTGAACACGTTGGTGTGGTTATTGGTTCTTTTGACGTCTACGATAATTTTGTTGGATTCATTTATAGTCTTGTGGCTAAGGTCCTTACAAATCAACCTATCAATCAAGATGGGTTCATCAGAACCTTCTTGCAACTATGGAAAGGTTCTACATATGTCTGGCCATTAAGGAATTGACTCCAATAAATTTTGGGTGCGCTTTGCTTGTGATCGTGATACAAAAAAAAAACAAGTCCTTGATATGGAACCCTGGGCGTTTGGCGCTTTTTGATTTTGTTGGCCTATCTCTCGGATAGGAGTATGCATTCTATGTCTATGTCATTTGGCACCTTTTGGGTTCAGCTCCATGGTGTTCCTGGTTTTTGTATGATTATCGTCGTTGCTAGAGCTATTGAGGCCACTCTAGGAGGAGTTCTTTGGGTGGATAACCGTGATGGTAATGATTGTGTGGGGAGCTTTATTTGTATTTTTGTGTGGTTTGACGTCACACATCCCCTTTTTCGTTGGACACCAGCTACCTTTCCGGAGCTGGGAGAGAAAATGGTGGAGTTTAAGTATGAATATCTTCATGAAATTGTTTTGTCTAGGGTAGAATTGGTCATCCTACTCAGGTGTGTATTGAAAAGTATGAAATCATTCATGGGTCCCTCAATCCAAGTTTGTTAGCCCAGTTTACCTATGCCTTTTTTGATTTTGAGGGTGACATCAATTTACGGGGTAAATCTATTGGTACTTTACAATGTCACTCCTCAGCAATTTCACCTCCTTATAAGAGCCTCGGTCATTCTTCTTGTCAGGATGGTATTTGGAATCATGATAGCTCAGGTGACCGTGGTTGGAGGTCATCTTCTCGAGATCAAAATGAATTAGGATTCTATCTCCCCTCGTCTCTACCACGCCACCCCACTGTGCTAGAGGCGATTGAGTCTCTTCACTGCCATGCCGTATCTTCTGATGATGTTGCTCGTTCTCCGTTGGTTTCTCCGTTAGATCTGAATGTATCGGCGTTGGGAATTTCATCCATGGCTATTCCCCATATACCAGCGGTTCCAATGAATAGCGCTCACATTGGTCCTTCAGTTACTACTCAAGCTCTTGTGGATCTGGTACTCTATGATCCTTTTGACCTTATGCCTATTATCTAGTTTTCTGCGAGTATTCCGACAAAGAGGGGTCATGACAGACCCAAAAAAGGGAGGCCTCTCGCAGTGTTTCTGTTAAAATCAGTGTTAAGTGTAAGACTCCAATTGCGGCGTCCTCTGGTGGTGATGTCTTGGTTCCTGGGGTAGACTTCGTGGATCTGAAGCATCTTTGCAGTTAGGTTAAGTGGCTGATGCCAGTTTTGTTTTCTTGTTACATGACATTCTTCTCTGATGTTATATATCTCAACATGCCTTTTGATTCTTCGCCTACCTAAAGGACTATGGTACTTTCATAGGAGTTTTCCTTGAGAGTGTTGAGATGAGACGATGTGCTTCTTGAGGGCTTTTTCTATAGATTATCTCTTTAAGTCCCAATTGAAGAGTTTTGGTTTTCTTTGGTGGGTTTTGGATTGAGTTGGTGTGCTTCCGTGGGGTTCCTTTTCTGTCACTATTGGAGTCTCTCTTGGTGTGCTATATGTTGGGTGCTTTTTCTATTCTATGGCTGTACAAAGGACTATGGTTTCATAGCAGGATTCTTTTGACAGTTAGGATGTGTTGATGTGCTAGGAGGTCGTTGTGTTGGGTTTCGCATTATTTTGTTCCATTATTGTAGTGGTCCCAAGTGACTTAAATCAGACTTTATTGTTAGTCAATGACATGTGTGGTACTCTTTTCTCTCATGGGATTTGTCCCAAGTGGTTTTCCTAGGAAGATTTTAATGAAACCATTGTATCGTGTCGCTCTATATACGTATTTGGTTCTATAAATGAAATTTTCTTCTCAAAACAACATAATAAGGCTTTCCCAAAAAAAAAAAGAAAAGAAAAAGAAACTGTGTTTTATTATTAGAACATGCATGCGGATGTAAAGACAGAAAAAGAAAGAGGGAGGACATGTAAGGCAAGTGAGGCGGTTTTTAAGGTTTTTTCTATCATCCTATATCGATCATGATTCACACAACATGAGAAATGATTCTCGTTATTGTTGCTTTTTATGCTTGATTAGCTTTGCAAACAGAATGTAAATTTGTGCCAATTTTAATATTCTGAGTACATGTAATGTGATTGTACCACATCTAAAATTATGAGCAATATATACATTAAAAGTACGTGAACAAAAATAACATTGTAAGTTTTGGATGAATAAATAATCGTGTGGCAGTAACGTATTGTCCTTGTCACATACCAATTGTATGCAAATGAGCAACATGTTTTTTGTGACTTTTTGACATAATTTTCATTAGAAAAGTAAGCAGACTAAGGGAAAATGTACTTTTATCATTGTTTCAATTTTTTACCAAGAAAAATTAAAGATCACATTTTCTTGTCTATATGTCGTTTTTTGAGATATTGGAAGCAACTATAAGTTTGTTTAGATTAGAGATTTCATAGATTTAAGCATGTTTATGAGATGTTCTACCTTCCCCCAAAGATGTGCATATGCTTTTGCAGACTCTGAAATTACTCTCAATTTATGTTTGGTTTTGTTTTTGTCACTTGTATAGAAAGTGACAAGAAAATGGGGGAAGAGACAGCTCACTTCATCTTGAGTCACTGCATCTCCTTGCATAAACCCAAATGCCCCAAAAAATAAAGAAAGTAAATTTAACCAGTAACTTTATTACTTTTAGCAGCAAGACATTTTTGGTTCATATGAGCCAATTTTTGGTTCATATGAGCCAATTTTTGGTTCAGTACTAATTGCATCTCCATACGGAGCAAGAAACCAACAGTGGATCTCAGGGTGGCTTTGGGATAAGGCATGAGCACTCATATATCTGCCAGAAAAAAGAAGGCCTTTTATGTGTTTTCTTTTCCTATAGTATTTTTTTTTCTTTCTGATTTTAAATTGTATTATTCCAGAAATTCGTGGTATGTTTAAAAAATTGTTACTCATTGCTCAGTTTGAACGATACACGTCTCCCCTCGTCTCTTGTAAAGATGCCGCGTTGGACTTGGACTGAACCAAAGAATCTAATGCCTGATGCATACAAAACGCTATATGGGCTCGCATGGATAACCAAGTATCTCCATCGGTTGTTTCACATGTGGTCTAAAATTATCTCTACATGTTCATGCTATCAAAACTAAGGAATTGTGGCAAGGTTGATTGATTTTCCAAGCCACTTATACCACATTAGGGTCCGTCTGGTAACGTTTTCGGAGAATGTTTTATGAGAATATTTTCAGAGAATGAAAACAAGAAAACGAATTTGCATTTTCAGGAAATGAAAATGCGTCTAGTAGATTAATTAGAAAACATTTTCAGAAAACAAAAATAATGAAAACGTGTCTGGTAATACAATTTGAAATAATAATATGTGAGTTATTTTTATGAAAATGTTTTCCATGAGAATGAAAACAACTTTTTTCTGTTTTTTACAAGTACACATGAACTTGTTTTCATTTTATGAAAACATTCTCAGTGTTTTCTGTTTTTACAAAGAATCTAATGCCTGATGCATACAAAACGCTATATGGGCTCGCATGGATAACCAAGTATCTCCATCGGTTGTTTCACATGTGGTCTAAAATTATCTCTACATGTTCATGCTATCAAAACTAAGGAATTGTGGCAAGGTTGATTGATTTTCCAAGCCACTTATACCACATTAGTAATTGGAAATTCAGAGTCATAGATATTAATGGCCTAACCATTACCCAATTAGCATCCTGATTTTCTCCTAAGCAACAGTAGCTCATAAGTTTATCCTAATCAGCTATATGTTTTTTCCCTAATTTTTCATGCATGGACTAGCACAACTATTTTCGGAAAACTCAAATTTCTTGAGGTGGCTTGGCTGAAAATGGCTTTGGATTTTTCTTTACAACAGAAGGAACAGAAAATGAAAACCATAACAAAGAGGGTAAATTTTTATTAACATGAACACTTCTCCAGTGCAATTGGTGTACTGTCCATACCAAAAACAAAAAAACAAAAAAAGAAAAAACGAAAAAAAGAAAAAAGAAAACATATAAATCTTTGTATACCATGATCATAATTTTGAGACACAAGGTATGATACCAAGTCAATTGGAACATAATTAATTCATCCTGTTTACCTTGACAATTTTCTACTAATCTGAGCACTCGATTTCTTGATAGAATCTATTCTCTGAAGCCTAATCTGCTCCCTGAATTTGGCTATGAACTCATCAGCTTTCTTATCCACATCAGGCCCTCCATCACTTCCACTGCTAGAAGCCGAAATGAAATTCCTTGGAGTTGGCTTTGGGGTCTCTCCAATGTCTTTCTGGATGAAACTTCCTCCAAAGTTGTCATCCTCACTTTCTGTTTCTTCATCCGATTCCATAACCACGCTGTTGAGAAAATCTTCTTTCTCTTCCTCCGAAAATCCATTGAAATCTGAGTTTGGCATGTTGGGGATGCTTTCATGCCCTAAATTCTCAGTCCCAATAAAAGAAGTTTCATCAAATCCCACCCTCTTTCTTGCAGCTTTCTCCACCAAATTTTCTTCAGCTTGCTTGAAGTTTTTCTCCACATTGCCATTTACATATCCATATTCTCCCATCACTCTCCCCATCACATATTCTCCATTGCTCCTATTCAAGTCCCTTGTTTCACTACTGAAGCTTCTCCTCAAGTCCTTCTCATACAAAACCCCATCTCTGCTTGGTCTCATTGATGATGACTTATAAAACATTGGCGGGGGAGGTGGAGGCGGGGGAGGACAGGACTTGTAAAAGCTCTTCTTCCTCCCCACATCCTCAGCATTCTTGGCTTGAGACTCCGATGACAATGAAGGTGAAGGAGATGCCTTCTTTGGAGACGAAAGTGATGGCGAAGGAGACAGCTTTGGGGATGAAGACATGGAATTCGATCTCGAAGAACGAGAACCTTGGGACCTCGAACCCCAAGACTCTTGGCGGTTAAGCTCAAATTCCTCCATTGGAGGACTGTTAATAATTTCTTCCTTCACATTCATCCTTCCTGATCTTGATCTCCATGGAATTGGAGAAGGAAGCACAACACTTTCCTTCAACTTCTCCTCCAATTCTTGATGATCCAACCCTCCAAATTCACCACCTAGAGCCTTGTTATTCGATTTGCTTGAAAACCTTCTCGAGCCTGACCTTGAGTTAGATCTACTTAGAGAACCAGAACTGGCACTAGATTCATTAACAGACCCTATATTAGCCGTGTCAGGAACATGTTGTTTTAAGCTCCTAACAGGCAAAAGCAATGGCTTTTCACCAATTCTTGAAGCGTTACCTCTCTGTTCATCAAGAGCAGAGTGTTCTTGAGCTACAACCACCACCGGTTCGTTCCTGTAATACTGACTACTCCATGACTGGACCTTGTTCTCATCAGAGCCAGATGGAATTTCAGTCTCATCATCAAAAACTGAAGACACCTGAAGAAATCTAGACACATACGAATGAGCATTATCGAATTTTGCGTTAGTGTTTTCCTTCTCTGTTATGTCATTTCTTCTGCTAAAAAGCCCATAAGAGACTGCTATGCCAACAAGGAGAAGGTGCAGAAGCTCCCAGCTTCTGGTGATTACACTTTGGTTGAAGAACTCAGGAGCTTGTGAAGGAAAAAGTGGGAGAATAACAAAGAAAACTACAACTAGAGCAACTTTGTATAGAAAATGATTGTAAAACTTACTTGGGTTTTCATGGTTTTGTTCTGGGACCAACTTTTGGTGTTTGCCGTAATTATACTCTGTCTCACTCTCTGCCATTGAAGAACACATAGAGTAGACAGAATGAAGCCCTGGCTTTTCAATGTTCTTTTTGTTAGCAGAACAAATGGAAGGAAGAAGAAGAAGGTAAAGAAGACTTAGGGATTAAGGTAAAGTGCAGAGAGAGGAAAGTAGAGGCAGTGGAGAAGAAAGTTATAGAGAGGTGTGAGAGAAATGTTCATTCTTTTGCTTTTAGCCTTTCTTTTCAATTGACATTTATAGCCTTTTATTTACTAAATTTCCTCAGAATGTTTTCTTTTTCAATATTTTATTTTCTCAACAATTGGTGAAAACAGTTTTGTTTTGTTTAAATGATGATACCTATCTAAAGAATTCTTCAAGAACTAACCAGTTAAAAAGCAGTCAAGTCTAAGCCTACATTTGGCCATGCACCAATGGTTTCCCATTATTCCTTTTCTTCAAGGAAAGATGCTTCTTAACATTCTAGTGGGAAGTGGTGAGAACATAATCCCACTTAGTCTACTTGGAATCCACAATTTTGTTGAAAACAGTTGTGAACAAAAGCAGTCTTGCACATTATGCTGAAACTCACATGCTCAGGAAAAGTGATCATGGTTTTTTTCCTTTTCCCAGTTTATGTACATTAGAAGAAACGGAATAAAAAAAAAATTGCGGTGGATATAGTTTATAGGAGTGCCACTGTCAGTCGTTTATGTGAATTATATGAAATTAAGTTAGTCCCATAATAAAGTTTACATGCATTATCGACTAGAAATCAGTCACGATCACGGCGCAACTCACCATAATACAAGTAAAAACATATAGCATTGATTGTACAGTCAAATAACTAAAATTCACCATTTCTCAGAAAAAGTGAAAAACTTAAAAGAATTGAGTCAGATAATCGTAACACTGACGTCAATGTGAATCTAGAAAAAAAAAAAAAAAAAATCCAATACTCGAGATAAGGTTTTGCTGAACTGTAAGTTATACTTTGTACCTCATAAACATGTTCGTTTCTGCTTTGTACAAGCATTAGATAAAGGAATGAAGTGGAAAGGTAAGCAGTGTGAGAGTATTTTGATTTTGATAGAATAGAAAGGAAAGGGGGACAAGGACATTTTGGGGATGTTGGAAAATGGGAGGGGCAAATAGGTTGCGTGGGATGTGGTGGGGATTCTTCTTTTGGAGTGCCTACGCTAGCTTTTCTGTGGGGGTAATATTATATTCATCAAAGAATGAAAGAAAGGAAAAAAAAAAAAAATTGTGTTTATTTGCAACTTTGGTGGGAATGCTTTTCTTGTCAATTTTGCTTCTGTATTCTTCAACTGCTATTCTAGGAGGATGAAGATGATGTTAGATGCTCTTAAGAGGCACGCAGCCAGTTGGGTAATTCTTAAATTTCATAAATAAAAATAAAAATAATTTTTACCAATTTATTTGTAAAGTGGAAGAAGAGGAAAACTAGAATTTGCCAGTGATTTCTATACCTTGTGTATGCAGTTTATTAGGAATATTTATTAGAAATTGGGCTTCTGGCCATGATTTATTCCATAAGGGTGTTATCAAATCAACCTACTATGTAACTTGCACTTTCTCATTTTTGTTCTGGAAAGATATTACTAAAACAGATGGAACATATCTGCCCTAAAATTTCTTTTATTTTCTTTTTAAAATTGACTGGATACTCCTGGAAAAGACAGATTGACCAGCATTGAGCTGCAGTGTTCTTGTTTGTCACCAAATTTAGCTAGAACAAGAAAAAGAGAGAAGTATAAAATGATACTACGTACAATGTCAAGGACTTTTTCACTTGATTAATTATTGACACTGAAAACTCAGGCCTTCATAGAAATTCTAATTAATTTTTCATCGTATTGAGAAGTTTTTCATTTCTATCCTTTAAACTTAAACTTAAAACACTGTTTTTACCCAGCAAAAGTTGTTATTTGACCTAAAGAGCTCATATATATATATATATATGTCACGGCAAATCAGTGACTTTGAATCGTCTTCTCATTCTCTTCAAAACAACGAGTCATGAACTCAAATTGGGTCCGTCGAAGCCTGACTAGCCAGTGAATTGAGGCCCATAAACCTAAATGACGAGGCTGACAGGACGAACAAGTAAAGTTCGATAGGGGACCTTTATTTATCGACAGCCAGAGCACAAAATAATGGTTAATATTTCCACATAATCCATATTTTATTTTTTGTTTGGCAATAAATTTATTGCTAATTTCGGGTCTCAAGCATGTAAAGGGTGCTTAATGAAGTAATCAGACATGGCAGTAGGCAGCTTTAGTTGGAGAAAAAGCAAAAGCAAGATTAAGAAGATAATCCTCATAAGATGAGACGAAAGAAGGATGAAGAAGGGTGATAAGGTATCCTTCTTTTCTCATATATTGGCCGAAAGTACATTGGAAAGATCCCTAAACAACGGATCTGATTCTCATGCTTTGGAATGTCCAAAATTGAAATTTTTTGTTTGTGATGAGGCCTTTTTAACCTTAAACAAAATAGGACAATCCTATGAAACATTAACATGTGCAATGCTCTCTTATTTTTCTATGCTCACACCAAATTTTAGGATATGTTAAGGACTTTATTTCGTAAAATTATTGAAGGAAAAGGGCAAACAAAGAGTAGTACTTTTGCGGTGAATGAAACTACTTACGCCACCATTGAAGTAAGGAGCGGAGCCACTAAGGGACTAGAGTGGTCAAGAGCCCCTCTCAGTGGCGGATCCAGGATTCTTGAGCTAAGCGGTCACAGTGTTAAAGTTCCGAAATTTGTCTACGAAGAAAATAACACTAAAATGTCAATCAATAATTTTCTTTTATATAGAATCATTGCATAATTCTACACAATAATTAATTCAATCAATCAATAATTTTTATCTAAATTATCATATCAATAAGTTAATCCACTACCAAATTATCAAATAATCAAAACAAAACATTATCAATAAATAAAAGGGTTTGGGATAATGATTTGGGAATGAAAAAGGGTTTGGGGGTGTACTGGTTAAAAGGGAGGAGGGATGATTTTTTCCATTAGTGTAAGATGGAATTAATACTAAAATTTCCATACCCTTTCACATTGTTATTTAATTTCCTCTGTTCTCCTTTAAATTCAATATTATTGAGAGGCTTGAGGCTCATATGTTTCGTGCGTTATAACATAGGGCTGGTATTTATAAAAAATTTGGGTGACAAAACTTACGGGGATTAAAGTTTGTTGAAACACGACAAATCTTTCACAAATTTCACGTGAATGTGTAGAAGAAGACACTATATAGTAAATAAAATTCAATTGAAACAGTTATGATACGTGTCTCGATTTCTATAACAATTCATTTGATAACATCTTTCGAAAGAAAAGATTCTTAAAAAAAGAAAGAAACAAGACACAGATAATTCCTAACTTAAGTAATATGTTGGTGGAACTGAACTGAATTGACAGTTAAATGTCCAACAAATTCTTGAACTTTTATTTTTCTTCAACTCTTGGCCCTTCTATATGGCTCTAATAAATTCTTACATTGAACTAGTCACCTCTAGAACAACCCCAATGCATCTTTTAGGCATGTAAGGGTTGCTTGATGCAGGACATCAAATCCGGTAGAGTTTGAATGGAGGATGAGGGAAATTCATCGTTGTTACCTATCCTGCACAATGATCACCATATCAAAACATTGAAGAAAAGTTTTCAAAACATGTTGTCCCATTCATTCACTCAGCAAAAATCCATTTTATTATTTGATGTTATTTTAGCATCGTATTAGAGGAATACAATTCTGACAAATAATTATGATCACTACTACAAAAACGTTAGTAGACAACGGCTAGAAATCATTGTGGTTTCAATTATAAAAACCGTTTACTTTAGTAATATCGTCTATTCTACATTTTGTACACAACGGTTGATAACTATTGTAGTTTGTATCCTTTAAAACTGTTGTAATTGGTTGCATTCCACCCTTCTTTTTATGTACAACCGTTGTAATTGGTTAACTTCTACAACAGTTTTAAAAATCGTTGTTATCTAAAATCGTTGTAGAAACTAGTATTAGATTGTTTATAAAACCATTGTGGAAAATCACATTAGATAACGTCTTCTATGAAAAATCACTGTTGAAAATAGCATTAGATAATGACGTTTTGGTGCACCCACAAAATTACCAAAATTCCAAACTAATCATTCACTATGAAAATTAATGGAAATTCACACTAATAATTTATACCACAATATCAATTTACAATTAGAATTCAATGCATATACACTACAAGAATTTTCACCAAAAAAAAAAAAATTGTGTTTATCTTGTTCCATAACATTATCGCTCTACATAATGGTCACCAAACTTGCTCACTCATGCCGGACTTCATCAATCTGCTCGTGTTTTGGTAATTCTTCTACAACTGAAACAGTACACACACAAAAACAAAAACAAAACAAAAAAGGTTGAACTAGGTATTAATTTAAGCAAGATAAATTGCAAGAGAGAAAATACATACTTGAAGTTTGCTGCAAATCATGATTTCTTTCTCTTGCAGACTTTCTTCACCTGATGATCCGCTGGCCTTGTTCTGTGATACTCCAAGCTTAACTCTTCTGTCTTCGGATGAAAGTCTACAGGCAGCAGGAGAGAGGCCATTGGTGATCAATTCGTTGATATAACATATACAGATAAAAAAGAAAATAATACAATGTATCCAACTTATTTTAATAAAAGAAAGACATATACCTTTGCAAGAGCTTAGATGCTTGAAGTTAATTTTAATTGTCTCTCCCATGCCACTCATTTCTACACTCATGAAACAGGTTTCTTTGAATAGTTTTAAATGTCTCTCAAGTTCTCCTCCCCATTCCCACTTTCCTTCCCTTTTCATCCCTTTCCTCCTCTCGCTCCTCATTCTCCTTTCTCTAAAACCTAAAAATTGTCTTTCAAGTTTTAAATTGGTAACCATGACCAAAGAGTTTGAGTACAAAAATATGACTGACTTCAGGAAGAAGGGTTGAGAAGGTATTTGTAGAAAATTTAGGCGACAAAATCAATAACTTGACAGCAGTTTGTTGAGCTACAGACAAATTGTTCATGGATTTTATGTGAAAACACACAGAAAACGTTCACGGATCTCACATGAAACACAAAGAAAATGAATGCAGCAGTTACAAAAAAAAAAAAAAAGCCTATTGAAATGGCTTATACCGCCACCCATAGTTTCTATGAAATTCAAGTGAGACATGATCTTCTAAAATAAAAGTTCTGAAAAAAATGAAGGTAGAAAATGGATAATTTTGAGCTTTTATTTTATTTAGCGAAACAGAATAATTTTGAACTGGGTTAAGATATGTACAAACAAAAAAGAAATCCTTGAACTTGGCTTCAATCTATGAAGTTAAGGTTTGCATCCATTAGGCATTTGTTGCCATTGGAATGCAATAGGATTTACGTGTTGGATCCCTCCTTTCATCATATTACTTTGCACAAAAAGAAAAAAATAATAAGAAGCTTGTAGCTCAAGAGCTTTTGCGATTGTTATAATGCTTATGGGCCACGAGTTTCATGTAGTCTCTTAAAAAAGGATTTCAAAAAATCATTTGTACGGATTAAAATTCCCTCTTGTCTTGAACATTAATGTCAAATTCGAGTGGTCCGTTAATTTTTTTTAAACATTACAACACATTTTGACGTTTTATTAATATTCTCAAAATTACAATTAATACTAAAATTTTCTTACCATTTCACACTAATAATATACTTTTTTCTCCTATGGTCTGTAGTTTCTGGGCTACGTGTTTAGCCTTGATGCACTACGTCATGTTTCTTCCTTTTGTTGGTTTCTTCTTTGTAGTTTCCTCCCCAGCTTTTGGGTCTTTTAATGAAAGCTGTAGTTGACCAAAAAAAATATACTTTTTTCTCCTCAAAATCTAATATTATTGAAAGACTTCCGCCTCACGTGCTTCATGCGTTCTAACCTAAGGTTGGTTGGTATGTATAAAAAGTTCGGGTGACAAAACTTACGCGGGATCAAAGTTTCTTGAAACATGATAAACTTTTCACAAATCTCACGGGAACGTGTAGAGGAAATGTATGTAGTAAATAAAAGCCAGTTGAAACGCTTAGGCTTAATTACACAAATGCCCCTTGAAACTTTGGTCAAATCCTACTTTGTCCTTATTTTGTAGCAGTCTGAGTTCTTATCAAATCTCATCAATCTGACATATTTGTTTACTTGCCTTTTGTTTTCCTTATTTTGTAGCTTTGTATTAGAGAACTAATAAAGTCCTTATTTGTCTTGAGGCATGGAAAAGAACCTATATTGAACCAGATCCTCATTCAATGCACAATGGTTAGCTAATGAAAGTCAGGTTTTTTAGCGCATAAATCATATAATAAATTCATTCAAGTCTATAGAATTTTACACTGATAATAGTGACACGCTCACACACATTAACTTAATCTTTAGCCTATTTATGAGGCTATAGGAGATTATCTCTTGAGAATGTCAACTAACCCAAATAATTAAGTAATATTTAAAGCCTTTATCATCTGAATCTTTTGATGCAAATTGTTGTCTTGTTACTTTAATATACTATTTAAACAGGGACGGCCCTCCCTGGCATGTAGAAAAGGGATCTAAAATGACACATCATAGTGAGTACCTGAGCACATACCAATGATATTACATCATCTTGCTCTATATCTATATGCTTCTGAGTATACTAGAAATTAAAAATAATCCTACATAACTAAGGACAACTTAAGCCTTATCGATGAAGAGAATTGACCTCTTATCTCATCACAGAGAGTTGGCATATATGGCAAAATCTTTGGTATGAGAACATTTCTATACAGGGCTATCTATTTATTCTCAAATAGCAAGTACATATTTGTGTGACTGAGAGGGAGAGGTTTTGGATTTTGATTAAGTTGAGAGATGGATTTCATGGATCATTCCGTGCATGAGGCTGCAGCTTCAGGAGATGTTGACTTCTTAAGAGCAAATATTGCAGATGATGACATTCTTCTTCAGAAAACTCCTAATGGCAGTAATATTCTTCACATTGCGGCTGAATTCAAGCAAAAAAATTTATTTGAAAACATTCCAAATCAATCTCCACTGTTTTGGGACACCAACAAGAAGGGCAACACTCCCCTACACGTTACTGCAAGAGTAGGCTGTGATGACATAGTAAAGCTACTACTCACTCAACCAGTGAGCAGACTTGCCAGTGGAGGAGTTGATCAGGAAAGCGGACTCACTGGTAAAGAAGCTCATAAAGAGTTAGTACGAAGGACCAACTGTGAAATGGATACAGCATTGCTTGTTGCTGTCCGATATGGTCATGGTGGAATCGTGAATTTGCTAATGGAATTTGATCATGAATTGTGTTGTCTCACAAATAGCGCCAATGAATCACCATTGTTCCTAGCAGTACGCCAGGGTTTCCTATCCATAGCTCGTTCTATTTTACAGGAGTATCAAATATGTCCTTCTTTTCAGGGGACCCAAGACGTGACGGCTTTGCATGCGGCAATAACTCGCACGGGCAAAGAAGCTGCAGGTAATAAACTACCTGGCATCAATTGATCATGTGTTATTTTATTTTATTTTTACTTTGGTTTCGTTTCGCGTATTGAGAATGTTGTCCCATGTTGAAAAGTATAAACGAACCGAGTACGAGTTTATAAGGAGTTCCTCCATTGCAAATTGGTTTGGGGGTCTGAGAAACCTTTCAAGAGCTTACTAAGGAGTTAGACTACCATAACCAATTCCTTCATGGCGACAGGGCCGTTCCTGAGATTTTGAGGGCCCTGTGCGAAACTTAAATTGGGGCCTCACATAATCTAATACAAAAATACTATAAATAAAAATTTAACATAATTTAATGTCATAAATAATTTTTTTTTAATAACTAAAGTCACCATCAATAAACATACAAAATCAAATTCATAAAAATTTAAATATTTCCATTTGATAAAGTTAAATATTAGTATGTTTGAAGCTGACTATTTGATTTTGATGGTCTTTATGAATTTAGGAATTAAGGTTTTCTTTTTTCGGTGTTGAAATTCCTGAAATTGAAAGAATAACAAAAATTGTCACAGGATTGAAAAAAGAACCAAAGAGAGATTGATGAATGATAATGATTACGTACTAGAGAATCAGAAGAAACTATGAAGTTTTTGTTTTTAAATTAAGAGAGTACTTTTCTTGGAGGAGAAAACTTTTTTTTTATATTTTTTTTTAATCAAAGAATGATAGGGGAGAAGCAGAAAGTGTTTGGGGGATATATACATATACTGCTTCTGTGGTTAGCTAAGCTTTGATGTTTCCTTTCGTCCAAAAAAAAAAGCTTCGATGTTTCTTTTTTTTTCTTTTTTTAAGGCTTTCTGTTTTTATTTATTTGTAATTATGTAAAGTTTGTTGTTATAGTGCAAAAATAGTATAAAAGAAGGCAAATAGATGGACTTCGATGAGAATCGAAGTCAGGCGCTTTTGTTAATTGAATATGCATTGCAGCCAACTCCACTATGCGCACTCTTGTGCAAATGTTTAGCACGTTGTAATATATATACAATATATATATAATATAAACAAATTTTTTTTCGGGGGCCTCAATAATTCGAGGCCCTGTGCGGTGGCACCACTTGCGCCACCCCAGGGCCGCTCCTGCATGGCGAACAATTCCACACAGAAATAACCCTTTTTTAGTAAGGAGGAGCCAAGCATTTTTCTTGTGTGGGGACTATAATTTATGTGATTTCAAACTGTTACTGATAATCCACATAATTCACGTGGATGACCTACTTGACGATCCAACAAAATCATGCGGCTGATTATTTTTCTTAAATTCAAGGCATCTGATTTAGGATCTAGATTTGTATAATTGTAGATTACTCCTATTGTCTAGCGATGCCAAATCTTTCAGTTACTGAACAAATATTTCTTCCCACTACAAATGGCCTAATGTTTCTATATTAACAAGGTACGTAGAAATTGTGAGAATTATGGTGGACTCCATTACACTACGCAGCATTAAGAGGGAACCTTGAAGCAATTCGACTGATGATTAAAGAGGATAGCTCTGCTTGTTACATATTGGACACTTGAGCCTGGCACTTGTGATTTGTATAACGAGAAAGGCCAGACGATTCTTCATGTTGCAGTTTTAGGGGGACGTAAAAATGTAGTCAATTGCATTTTGATGACGCCTAAGCTTGCGAGACTTATAAAAGATGGAAACACCCCTTTGCATCTAGCAGCCATTCAAAAAAAATCTTGGAATTATACTCATTTTATTACGCAACCCCAGGGTGGATAAGACTGCTATCAACAAGGAATTCTTAAAGGCCTATGACATTTTAGTTCGTAACGAATATGGGGAGGTACGTATTATGCAAATAAAGAATTTTTTTTTAGAGTTGATTTTCTCACTCCTCTTTTCTCTACTTACAGCAATTCGACTGATGATTAAAGAGGATAGCTCTGCTTGTTACATATTGGACACTTGAGCCTGGCACTTGTGATTTGTATAACGAGAAAGGCCAGACGATTCTTCATGTTGCAGTTTTAGGGGGACGTAAAAATGTAGTCAATTGCATTTTGATGACGCCTAAGCTTGCGAGACTTATAAAAGATGGAAACACCCCTTTGCATCTAGCAGCCATTCAAAAAAAATCTTGGAATTATACTCATTTTATTACGCAACCCCAGGGTGGATAAGACTGCTATCAACGAGGAATTCTTAAAGGCCTATGACATTTTAGTTCGTAACGAATATGGGGAGGTATGTATTATGCAAATAAAGAATTTTGTTTGAGAGCTGATTTTCTCACTCCTCTTTTCTTTACTTACACTCTATTTTCCTTTTTAATATTTTTTAATTAATTTTGTTCTTTTTTTTCCTTTCTCTTTCCTATTCTACCCTTATTCTACTTTAATTTCTTTTTATTTCACTTTTATATTATTTCTTTTTCTTTATACTTAATTTTACAACTTGCACTCCATTCCTTTTTCTTTATATTTTTATATTATTTCTTTTTCTTTATGCTTGTTAAATGAATATGATAATATTTTTTATTATTATTTAGAAAACCTATAATGCTTTATGAAGTTAATAAAAAGTTGAATTAAACATTAGAAAAAAGAAAAGAAAAAGCCCACATAGCCATCACCATCATCATCAAACCCTCCTCTGCCACCACGTCTCTCTTCCCAAAACCCCATCTTGGAGGGCCCCACTGGTGGCCATCTGGATCCCACTAGTGGCCACCTGGACCCCATCATCAACTCCTTCTTCTTCCTCATCTTTAGCCAGTATATTGTGGCCCTCACTCGCATACTCAAACATCCTCTTCTTCAAATCAGCGTACAACGTTCAGATTGTAGTGCAAGACAACGATTCCGAGGAAAAGCTTGTTGAGAGGTTCAAAAAGGAGGTTCTGAGGGCTGGTGTGTTGCAAGAGTGCAAGACCAGGAGGTTCTTCAAGGTTCTGAGGGCTGGTGTGTTGCAAGAGTGCAAGACCAGGAGGTTCTTCGAGAACAACCTGGAGAAGAAGCAGAGAAAGACTTGACAGGTTGCCAGAAAGAACCACAAAAGGTTTTCACTTTTTGCCTCTCTTCTTTTCTTTTTTCTATTTGGTAACCCCTGTCTCTCGCCTTTCGGCAATTGGCTTGAACCTAGCCAAAGTTTCCTTGCTGCCTAGAAATCGAGTACAGGTATATGAACTGCTCAAATGTTGGCTCTCCCAATTTCACCAACCACCAAGCGATATATACCCCATGCAGCAGAATCCAGAAATTGAGATTATATTGCCCCGGTGCATACCCCAGCTTGGCTAGCATCATCTGTACCCATGGATGAAATGGCAATCTAAAGCCATTCTTATACATGTCTGTAAAAATAAGCACGCAGCCCTCTGGAGGATATCTAACCACATCAGAAGCAGTAGGTAACCTCAACCCCACCAAAAGTGGAACACTGAACTCTGTCCGAATCTCCGATAATCTAACCTCTGTAAGTGTATTCCTCCTCGGTAACGGGACACCAACCCGTACCTCCAACCCCTCTGAAGCTGAAGCCACGGCTATGCTCACGGACCCCGATGGTGATGCCTGCTTACTTGATCCCACCTCTGGTGTATGAGGCAAGGCTATAACCCGATTAGCTATGGCCTCTAACTCCTTGTAATTCCTCTGCATCTCTCTATATGTAGCTGACCCAGAGTCTACTGATGGCTCACCCTCATGCACTACCATCCTACTCTCTATAATACCTTCTACCACACTCTCTGTCTGGGAACTCTCACGTTCAGAACACACATAAAGGCTTGGCTCTGACTGGGAACTATCACTTTCGGTATCTTCCCCACCAAGGGCAGGGGGGTCGAGACTTTCTTTATCAGAACTCTCAGACATATACAACATGCAGAAACAAGGAAAAGGAACTAATGCACATGCAAGAAGGATCGAAACATACATTCAACAAGTTCATATCAAATGTTCAAGGTGTTCATCAAGTTCATGCTCATATTCAAGGTGTTCATCCTAATCTTCAACATGTTCATGCCAAAAAGGACATTTAAATTCAAAAATTCAAGGGAAATGAGGTCTAACCTTGTTTGCACCACCATGGAGAGCTCGCCGGAAATCTTTCTGACCACCGCTCCAACACCAAGTATCTCGCCGGAAATCTCTTTTTCTCCTCCTCACTTTTTAGAAATTTTTCTCAAGACTCAAGTATGTTCACCTTCGCCACCCCAAGTTCCTATTTATAAAGCCTCAAGGGTACCCATGCCTCGGTTTACGAGAAAACCCTAGCACCCTTTCAGCTTCCCTCTCGAATTCCTTGTACCTGCTCCACAATTTGAAATTCAAATTTCAAGTTGCCAAAAAAAAAAAAAATCGGAGAAGGGAAATGAAAGGACCTTGCCAAACGGCAAGGCCCACGCAGAAGCAAATGAGGGTCGCAAAATATTTCACCTTACCTAAGCCCACCTGCGGAAGATATGGTGACCCAGCCCCACCTTGCCCAAGCTTCTTGCCGAATGGAAGGATCTTAGGCACGTTGCATTCACACCAATCTTCAAAACTTCCAACTTCAAGCCCGCTTAGAGCCAAAACAACCAATGCACACATCAAGTTCGTCACATTAAAACAATTTCAATCAATCCTTGCCGAACGGCAAGGGTTGGGCAGGAGATAGCAGGGCCTTGCAAATGAACCGGGATTTCACAAGGGTGTCTAAGGAGGGTCCGAAGTTTGAATGTGCACACGAAGGGTTCAAGATCTTTTGACTCCTTCCATACCGAACAGCAACTCTTGCCGAAATCACAACGCTACCAGGTCCCCTTCTCAAAAATTCGAATATTGTCAGCTCCAATTCATGGCGAAAATTAAATACAAACTCATGGTACGCCAAGCTTGCCGAACGGCAAGAGCCGTGAACAATTTGACGGGAGACTTACGAAAATCACGGTTCAAAATCAAACTTGCCGAAACTACAAAGCCCCTTGCCGAAAGCTGAAAAATTTCACCCCATGCCGAAGAGACCAAAGTGAGGCCTCCAAAACAATAATTTTCTAAAT